GGGGCGCCTGGGTGGCCAGTCAGTTAAGCGTCCGACTTCAGCCAGGTCACGGTCTCGCGGTCCGTGAGTTCGAGCCCTGCGTCGGGCTCTGGGCTGATGGCTCGGAGCCTGGAGCCCGTTTCCGATTCTGTCTCCCTCTCTCTCTGCCCCTCCCCCGTTCATGCTCTGTCTCTCTCTGTCCCAAAAATAAATAAACGTTGAAAAAATATATATATATAGTTTTTAAGTATATTTACATTCTTGCACTATATTCTCCTAAGGAAAATAATGCATATTGTAACAAAATATTTTGTGAAAACTTCACAAAATTCACAGATTTTAACATAAGCCACTCAAAACTCATGATATTTAGATTTCATGTTCAACTTATCAGAGGGAAAAAATATTCAAAATAGAAATGGGTATGGGAAGGGGCGCCTGGGTGGCGCAGTCGGTTAAGCGTCCGACTTCAGCCAGGTCACGATCTCGCGGTCCGTGGGTTCGAGCCCCGCGTCATGCTCTGGGCTGATGGCTCAGAGCCTGGAGCCTGTTTCCGATTCTGTGTCTCTCTCTCTCTCTGCCCCTCGCCCATTCATGCTCTGTCTCTCTCTGTCCCAAAAATAAATAAACGTTGGAAAAAAAAAATTAAAAAAAAAAAAAAAGAAATGGGTATGGGGCGCCTGGGTGGCTCAGTCGGTTGAGCAGGAGACTTCGGCTCGGGTCACGATCTCGCGGTCCGTGAGTTCGAGCCCTGCGTCGGGCTCTGTGTTGACAGCTCGGAGCCTGGAGCCTGTTTTGGATTCTGTGTCTCCCTCTCTCTCACCCTGCCCCATTCATGCTCTGTCTCTCCCTGTCTCAAAAATAAATAAACGTTAAAAAAAAAAAAAAAAAGAAATGGGTAAGCCCTGTAACTTCTACCCAATGGCTAGATCTATGTAGCTGTGAATTAAAAAACAAAGGCTAGAATGGAAATTGGTTCTTAATCATTATCTCTAGTTTTAAGAGATTGGAACATTCAGATGATTTTGACAGGTTTTCCTCCTTTGGAATCCAGGCATTCAGAGTATCCCAGTGCCTCAGAATGGGGGTGCACAGAGGAGGAAAGAGAATAGAAGAAAGCATTACCATAAGACAATACATCAATTCATAACTATATCCTGCACCATTATCCTAGCACTGTAGCCAATGATCTCCTTTAGCTTTCTCCTGGCCACTGTCACCTTCAGTGCTAATTTTAATAGATTTACCTCTTTGGGATAGAGTGGTGAGCAAGGAACACATTGAATCACTATGATGAGTTATGAGTTTTCTTAGGAAGGGGCCCAGAGTCTCCACTGTAGTGTAACAAATCCTATGTGAGTGTTACCTAACTTTGCAACACACGCTGCAGTAATTTAACATGCTGCAAATTTCTCAACTTCATGTAATTTTCCTTTGGTTATTTAGGTTGTCTCTACCTCATCACAAAGATTTGGAGAAGATTTGAAGACAGTATTTAAAATCTTAGCTATTCAACATAGATACATGTATTTTAGCATGACTACAGTTACCTATGAGGCAAAAATGAGCACAGGAGGAGAAGAGTGCTTTTAGTTTTCTATTCATATCCTTTTGTATTGGTTGATTTTTTAGTAAAAATATTTTATGTAAGAAAAAATAATAAAATCTTGCCTATTCATAAATGTCTTCCACTTTAGGCTATTTGAAAGTGAAGCAAGGGCAATTCTGAAAAACTCTTCAATTATAGGTTTGGTCAACCAACAACAAATATACAACAAAGGGCTTCATTTGAGTAATTGATACTTCCAATGCTTGATCAACTGTGGCGTCCTTTAGATTACATCATTGATTGTCAGATCAAAAGTTACGGCAGGAGAAATCATAGAACATTTTTGCCGTTGGGTTTGCATTTACCTACAAATACAAGACCATGGTATATAGTTCCGCCCTTTTTATAGCTTTATAACTTTGCCTTGTGTCTCTCTGTTGGATGAGGACCAGGTACATTGGTATAGCTCCATAAAGCCTAATATTGGAAATAATTTAAAATCTAAAAGACAATGTCACCTTACCCATTTCACCTGCCTAATGACTTCCTCTCTTTCTGTACAAGCCCCAAAAATATGTATTCACATTACTGGGAAGAAGAAACTCTACCTGTATTTGCACAATGGGGTAATTTTTTGCCCTTCTAATTAACCAGCATGAGCCAAGTGTTTAAAAGGTTTCCTCTAAAATTGTGCCTTCAATTAACAATCACCATTTCTAAATTAATCATTGCTGACCTTAATATGCAGGATATCTTGAAGACATTATTCAAATGGAAAAAAAAAAGATAATTCCATTAAGAGAAATGTACTAACCACCTATGTTTCATAAGTCTTTGGTCACTGCTTTTCTCCTACCACTGCATAAAGTGTCCTGGAATTTGGAAC